TTCCTTCCTCTGTGTCAGTTACTCACTAATTACTCTAATAATGGTTAATTGTGAGGTTTTCAAATCTGGTTGGTGGGCACAGACCTTCTGGCTCCAGGAATTGTTACCGCCAATTTTTTCATATGGTTCATTTCCTGTCATTGAGTATGCTTCCTCAAGTGCATATATAGTTGTATACTAAGCTTAAGAATCCAGGTGGAACCCCTGTAGATCTCTGGATCTCTTTCTTCTCTCTCTCTGGGTATCTCTCTCTCTCTTTCTCTCATTCTCTCTCCTTCTTTTCCATGGTAAATTTAGCTACCTTGGCCTTCTACAAAATCTCAACCCTATCTCATTAATTCACATAGCTTTCCCAGCTTTGCTGGGGTTCCTGTGCTGTGGCCTGGGAATACTCTTCAGGCAATAGCTGAGCAACTCTGGGGCTCAATTTGTTTGTTCCACCTTTTACCTTTTTCAGGGATCACTATCTTGTGCTGCCTGATATCACGTGTTTGAAAACTCTTGTTTCATGGATTTTTATTTGTTTCAACTATGACTACTATCTGATTCCAGGATATTTTCATGATATCAGAAAGAAACACCCTATTGTTCCCTTCCCCTAGCACCTGGCCACCACTAATCAACTTTCTGTCTCTATAGATTTGCCTATTTTAGAAATTTCATATAAGTGAAGTCATATAATATGCGATTTTCTGTGTCTGGTTTCTTTCACTTGGCATAAAGTTCTCAAGATTTATCTATGTTGTACCAGAAATCAGTACTTCCTTCCTTTTGATGGCAGAATAATATTTCATTGTATGGATATACCACTTTTGTTTTTCCATTTATCAATCCATTAGTGGACATTGGGGTTGTTTCCAGTTTTTTTGCTATTATGAATAGTGTTGCAATGGATATTTGTTTAGAAGTTTTTGTGTGGACATACGTTTTCATTTCTATTGGGTATACACCTAGGAATGGAATGCTGGGTATACGATAACTCTATGTTTAATTTTTTAAAGAAATTCCTAAATGTTTTCCAAGGTAACTATATCGTATTTATAAGTCCCACCAGCAGTGTATGAGCATTCTGCATTCTGGCCAGTACTCCTTATTATCTCGTCTTTTTATCATAGACATCCGAGTGGGTGTGAAGTAGTTTACCATTGCAGTTTTGATTTGCATTGCCTTAATGGCTAATGATGTTAAATATTGTTTCATGTGCTTATCAGCCATTTATTTCTCTTCTTTGGAGAAATGTCTACTCAAATCCTTTACTCATTTGTAGTTGTCTCAAATCCTTTACTCATTTGTAGTTGTCTATGGTTGAGTTTTAAGAACTGTATGTATATTCTGGATACAAGTCCCTTATCAGATGTATGACTCGCAAATATTTTCTCCCATTCTATGCACTGTCTTTTAACTGTCTTAATGATGTCTTTTGAAGCAGAAAAGTTTTAATTTTGATGAAGTCCATTTCATCATTTTTCTTTTGTCCCTTGTGTTTTTGGTGTCATATCTAAAAAATCTTTGCCTAAACCAAGGTGACAAAGATTTCTTCCTTTTCTTCTGAAGGTTTTATACTATTACTTCTTACATTTAGGTTTGTGATCCATTTTAAGTTAATTTTTGTACTGGTGTGAGGAAAGAGGACAATTTCATTTTTTGATATGGGCATCAAATTGTCACAGACCATTAGTTTTCGCAAAGACCCTTCTTAACTTATTCAATTTACTTGCACCTTTGTTGAAAATCAGTTGACTATATATATATATAAATCCATATATATATAGGGGTTTATTTCTAGACTTTCAGTTCTATTACATTTATCTATATGTCTATCCTTATGCCAATACCACACTATCTTGGTAACTTTGTAATAAGTTTTGAAATGAGGAAGAGTGAATCCTCCAACTTTTTTCTTCTTTATCAAGATGGTTTTGCTTACTTTGGGTACTTTGCATTTCCATGTGAATTTTAGGAACAGCTTACCAATTTTTGCAAAAATGGAAGATGGGATTTCTACAAGGATTACATTGAATCTGTAGTTGTATCACATTTTTTTAATCTTTTCTGCTAATGTCTGTCTTTTAATTGGAGTATTTAATCCATTTAAGATTAATGTAATTTCTCGTAAAGTAGCATTTTTTTCCTACCATTTTGTTACTGGGTTTCTATATGGCTTATGCCGTTTTGTTCCTCTATCCATCCATTGCTAACTTCTTTTGTGTTAAATATTTTTAGTTGTACCATTTAATTCTATTTCTGTTTCTTATACTATGTCTTTTGTTATTTTTTTCTTGTCTTGAGGATTACAAATGACATCTTAAAACAATCAAGTTTAGATTAATACTAACTTTAGTAGTATATAAACATTTTGATCAATATAGCTCAATTTCTTCTCCCTCTATTCTATTCTTGTCATATATATTACATATTTATATATTATATATTAAAGTCCATCACCACATTATTATAATTATTGCCTTTTAAATCAGGGAGGGTAAAAAGAATTATAAACAAAAATACATTTTTACTGTCTTTCGTAAATACCTATGTACTTCCATTTACTGGCCCTCTTTATTTATGTGAATTGAAGTTACTGGCTAATTCCTTTCATTCAGCCTGAATTCTCTTTTTAGTATTTCTTGTAGGTCAGGTCTGCTAGTGGCCAATTCTCTAATTTTTGTTTCTTTAGAAATGTGTTAATTTCTCCTTTGTTTCTAAGTATAATTTTTCTAGATATAGAATTCCTGGTTGACCATTTTTTCTTTTAGAACTTTGAATATGCCATTTCACTGTCTTCTAATCTCTGTTGTTTGTGATGAGAAATCATCTGTTAATTGTATTGAGGATTTCTTTTACGTGATGAGTTGCTTCTCTTGCTGCATTCAAAGTTCTTTGTCTTTATCTTTTGACAGTTTGACTGTGATGTGTCTTGGTCTGGATCCGTTTCGAGTTCATCCTACTTAGTGTTTGTTCACCCTCTTTTATATGAAGATAAATGTTTTTCACCAAATTTGGGAATATTTTAGCCATTCTTTCTTCAAATATTCTTTCTGCCCCTCTCTCTCCTCCTCTTCTAGACTCCAATTATGCATACGTTAACATGTTTGATAGTGTCTCACAGGTCTCTAAAGATGGGATAGGGCTTTTCCCACTTAGTAAGCTCTGAGTCAGGTCAAATAAAGACAAGCTCTATGAATAGTATTGTTCCAAGACCTGCCAGACAGGTTAAATAATGATGATTCACTGGAGAGTGGGCATTTTGAGGAGCTTCAAACCATTCATTGCCTTCCTTAGTGGCTGCTAAGGAAGCTATTTACAAAGCTGTATTGGTTGCAAGCCTCCCAGTTTTCAGAGCTGCTACAGACTGGGAAAGGGACAGAGGATTATCACAAGCTAAAACATCTCATAATTCATTATTTTTACCAAGATTCAAGAGTTTTCTTAAAGTTACACTCTATAGATCATTGCTTGCTTTTGGTTAACTTCCAGAATTATCAAAAAGTTGATTTTGACAGTTCTCAAAGCTATTACTGTGGAGTGGCTTTTTGAAGGTCTTCTTCTGAGTTTATAGAAGTCACATCCCTGGTCAGTTTTTGTAAATTTTTTGTTGTATGCTCGAAAAGAATGTGGGTTCGCTCATTTTCCCAGGCCCTGTTACAAATATTTCAAATAAATAAAATTATTGTGTTGTTTAAAGTCTCTATATTTGCAGTAATATTTGGTTTGCATTATATACTACCCAGGTGTACTCTAGAGCGAGCCTCTTTCTGTGTAATTAATTTCACTCTTACTTTAGCTTTGCCTCTTTCATAGAAAATGCATACAAAGTATATTCTCTTAACATCCAAAGGTTGTGTCTTTGTGCTGTAGGTTTTTCTTTATAACATCTTATATGATGCTCCTTTAAATGTTATGTTTGCCATGTTTGTGATTTTTTATGTTATTTTTTCATTAATTTACTGTAGGTATGACTTACCTACAATAAAATGCACCCATTTTAAATATATTGTCCAATAAGTTTTGACAAATGTGCAAACCCATGTTAACTACCGCCAAAATAAAGCTATGGAATATTTTCATCACCCCAGAAAGTTTCCAACTGTTCCTTTCAGTCAGTCATTCTCTCACTCCCAGACCTAAGCAACCTCAGATATAGTGACAGTGCTTTCTGTCACTAAAGATTAGTTTTTACATTTCTAGAAATGTATGTAAACAGAATCATACATTATGTAAAATTCTGTGCCTTTTTGATTTACTTTCATTTTTATCTACAAATTTTATATCTTCCTCTCTTTTAGTTTCTATGCCTGAGATAAATACAATTCTAGTCTCTAAGATAATTTCCTTTGTTTTTACCTCATTAATTTCTCTGAGTATACTTTTTACACTATCTTCTCCTTGAAGGATTTCAAAGAAAATATATATTTTTTATAATAAACTTTCTTAACGTTTTTCTTCACTGTCTATTCTTGCTCTTTTATTGCCACATCTCTTAGTCTATTATCACTTTATCTAACTCACTTTTTCTCCTCTGCTCAACTCTTGAAATTTATTTTCTCTCTTTTTTAAAAATCACTTGATAAATCCCATTTTACTACCTTCTCTTACAATGGACATATCTTAAAATTAGCAAATTTTACCTGCTTACTTGTGTGTATGTGTTGTAATTCTGAGTGTGTTTTCCATTTATATGTAGCACAGCATCAAAAATATACAATTTTATTTTCATTTGCTCTATTAAAGTAAATTCTATTTTATCTATCTGAAGTCAGATCAAGTTCATTACTCTCAAAAATGTTCATTCCAGTTGAATTATTAAAAAGCATTTCTAACACAAACTATTTTATTGGGCAACTTTTTCATATTATGTGTAGAATATCACAGTGAACTTACTCATCCTACTCTTCAGTAATACATTACAATTTTGTACCTCCTACTTCTTCTTTCTTGATTTCTACTGGACAAAACACATTTTTTTCATCAAAACTTATCCCTCAAATATATCATTTCAGATCCTGTTTGGTGAAAAAGAATTTTTATTCAATACATTTATGAATAAAGTCATCGGTCAGAATGTGTGCAACCGTGAGGTACTTGATGCAGTTTGTAACAATTTACTCACATTGGTAGGTGGTTATCATCCCCAAAACTTAAATGAGGTATGTGTTGTTAATGATTTAAAGTAAATATTTTTTCTTGATGATGTGTTAGTGGTGCTATATCATTATCTTAATAGGTAAAAATTAAAACCCAGGGACAATTAACTTACCCAATATATATATTTTAATCTGTTTATTATAGGCAAACTGTATTATAATCCAGGATGGATTTTGCACATAATTTCTAAAGTTCAATATTTCTGAGATGTAGTAATCTATATGACTATGTACAAAATTCACTTATAAACCTTCACATCATATATGAATGTATGTCTGAATATCATATGTGAAGGAATTTTAATCTTTTCCTCTGTCTGAATCATTTTAATAAATCTACTGTCATTCATCTAGACACTGATTATTCAGGAAATGATCCTTCTTTCTCAGGAAAAAAAATTTGGATCAAACATTATCATATAAAACACAAAGAAATTTAGATTTTTCTGGTTTTGGAGAAAATCATGTTTCCTTCTGAACCGATTAAACAGAGGTCTGAATCATAGAAGTAACAGAGTTTTACTATTTTGAAATATTCTCATTCTTGGAAGGAAACTAATGATTGACAAATGTGTATATTGTTTTTCTTTCTTCTAGAGTCGTCTTGATGTGTATTTAACAGAAATTCCAGCAGGAACGTCAGTTCAAAATATGTTACACTATGCTCAAGTATAACTTTTCAAATTCTATCAATCAATATTTATTGAGCTTCTAATATCTATAAAAAAGCATGAGGAGAAAGGCATGGCTATGTGATGAGGTGTAGTAAAAAAATGATTTTGGAGACTAGAATAAGATAAGTTATTGCAGAACTTAAATTTCAACTAAATGACTTTTATTTAGAGTTGCCAGGTTTAACAAATAAGGATATAGGACGCTCAGTTAAATTTTAATTTCAGATAAATTAATAAATTTTAGTATAAATATCTCCACTATAATATTCCAAATTCAATTTAATTTGGCATCTTTTATTTTGTTAGGCAACTCAACATTTTTATCACTTAATCGAGGGAGGTATTTAAGTGTTTTAACAAAAAAGGAAGGTGTTTTATAAACCTATCCATAACAGTACTGTCATTTGTTTTCATAGTCTCGTTAAAATTAATAATAATTTATATATGTCATCTCCAACCAGATGACAATAATAAATGGCAAATTTCTTACATTTCCTCCTTCTTTCCTTTATTCCCTTCTTTCTTCTTCTCTCTCTGTGCCTCTCTTTCTCCTCTCTTTTTTTTGAAACCTCTTCTACTTGATAAGGCTCAATCACTCTATCTGTTTGGTTTTGTGGCCAATGGATTACATCCCTTTTTGAGGAAATAAAAGGGAACTTCTTTGATGCCAAGAACAGATACTCCCCCCTGTGTGTGAGGGGGTAAGGGGAATGTGATAAAGGCAGAATTGTTTCTTTCTTTCACCATCAAAAGTGATAGCTTTCTTTTCTGTTCAAAATGGAAAACTGGTATAAATGTATTTTATGTCAACTTAGCATCAGCTCTGGCAATCTTCAGGGGTTAATGATAGATGGAAATTCTAGGAGCACTTGAGGTATATGTGTAAATTGTGATAACTTTCATTCATTACTCCCTCAGAAGAATTTCCCATGTGGCAGCCAAAAGATTGGGGATAAAATGATCTTACGTTCCTAATACCATTTGCCAAGATGTAAGCTGATGCCTATACACAGGGTGCGAGAGCATCTTATTCCAAGGCACATACCATTTGAAATCTATAGATGGGTGGTACTCTTAGATTCCATCTATCTTCATTGCCATGAATTTTTTTACTCCATTGACACATAATCGACAAAGCAACATGTCACCTCCTAAAAAAAGATGATGCCTCATTCCATTTTCTTGTTTGCAGATATCTGTTTAGAACATTTCCACTGCCTAGCATCTCCACTTTGTAGAAGAGATAGTCTTTGAACTACTTATGTCTGACAATTAGGGTGCTACAAAAGGCCCATTTCTTACTCCTTCCAATTCTGAGACAATTCTTTTGCAACAGAAATCATTCTTACTACGTTGCAAAAATTACTTTATTTTGAAGCATCATAGGACAATTTTTATAAAAGGGACATTCTACATAAAGGATAAAAATTTTTTCTATGTATCAATTTTCAGTGCAAACTAATTGAATCTGCTTGAAAATATTTTTTAATGTCAATTGAATTATAAAGCAATAAAGCAGTCTTTATAGTGCTAGTAAATTTGTATTGCATATTTTATTTGCACTATAAGACTTCATTAATTTGGATCCTAGTAATTTGAAATATTTTGTTATTAAGAAATATTTACAAACTGAAATTTACTTTGTACCACCAAAATAAAATATAATACAAAATTAGTGATAGAAAAAATTTGCATTTTAAAATAACTTGGCAAACACCCATTAATCCCTAGGAAATCATACTTATAGTTGTTTTTTCATCTGTTTATTAGGTCCTTGCTTAATAGATAGCATGATAAGTTACTGTAGTTTAAACATTATTAAAATGTGTGTAAAATGTACTTAATGTTTTTCTTAAAAGTATGTTATTTGTGCCAATTTGTCTGATTCCTAGTTCTCTGGGAATATGTTTTAGAAGTCATTCATCCAGGAGCACATAGCATTGTGGTAGAAAAAGTACTAGACTTATATATGGGTGACATTGAATGCAAATCAATGAGTCATATTGTAAAATGAGGCAGTAAGACTTAGCAATTTCTAGCTCTATTTATTTTTTAAGATTGTATTAGTAATAGTTTTTTATCTTTATTTAAGCTTATTAATAAAGGTACATTTCAAGCTTATGACTGGGGAAGTCCATCTCTAAATATTCTACACCATAATCAGGTAATTTTGCTTTTTCAAAATTGAATTCTTTGGCCTTTTTGGAAAGACAAAAGTGAAAATGTATTAAAGATCTAAGAAAACACTTGTTTTTAAAAGATTATGCAGTACTTTACATTTCCCAGGAAGATGATAAAGATAGACCTAAGGATGGGTTCAAAACAAAAAAACATAATTTTTTTACTACAATACTATACAAAGCACAGTTCCATTTATCACGTCATTTGAACCTCATTAGACTTGTCAGATATTTATTAATATCACCATTTCACATACAAGGAAGCTAAGCAGCACAGAGGTTCTAGTTTGTGAAAATCATTTGTTAGTACAATTTAAAGGCTTGGATAACAGTCCATTTCTGTCTGACAAAGATTGAGATTCTATAGATAATTTCTATGGACTCAATAAACAGAAAATAATCATTATCATTTCATGAAAGAAGAAAATAACCAATTTACAATTCATAGTTGGATATGCTGTTAAAATAAACATTACTATTCCTCATTTTCTTTTAGCCCACTCCTCCATTATACCATGTGGAAGATATGAAGGTTCCAACAGCAGTGTGGAGTGGTGGACAGGACATTCTGGCGGACCCAATAGATGTTAAGAACTTGGAATCAAGAGTATGCAATTTCATTTACCATAAGATAATTCCTTCTTACAATCATCTTGATTTTGGATTAGGATTAGATGCTTATGATCAGATTTACACTGAAATCATCACAATGATGAATGAAGCTCTATGAGGTTAAAATTCTTTGGCTTTACACATATCTTCCCACGTCTTCTGAGGGCCCCTGGCTTTTCTATATGCAAAGATTTTCTTGCTGGTCTTTTTTTGTTTAAATGGTCTTTGGTTTTTAAGTCAGAATCGTTTTGCCAAATCATTTGCGCCTGTCCTAAGAAGAATGAACACTTATAAAATATCTCATTCATCCTGTGAATGTCATTCATATGGTAATTTTTATATTTTTGACAAGAATAGAGCTCTTTGAGGAATAAGCATACTTCTTATTGGCAATAAAACAACCTTGAAATATTTATGCAGGGAGAAACTGAGTTGTGTGGTATGCATTTGGGGGATACGATGTCTCGAGAAAGGACTATAAAAATTCCACCATACTTTTTGACAGGAATGCCAAATGGGACCTTGTCAATTAGTCTTCTTGGCTGAAATTCAATGAGATCACGACTTCTGTCTCACCATGTATATAAAAAAAAAAGTAACTGTTTTTAAGAAACTGATTATAGTAATATTCTCTAGTATGAAAAATATGAGAAATTTTTTAGGATCATGTTTCTAGTATGGAAAATGCCCTTCTCAGAACCAGTAGTTCCAGCTGCCAATCAGTAATAAATACAAAGTGTCAAAGGCTGCCAATCAGTAATAAATGTTTGCCAATCAGTAATAAATACAAAGTGTCAAAGGCTGATAAGATGTTGTTTATTGACTCCCAGGGTTGCATTCATTTTTAGTCATACATTGATCTAAAAGAATCTGAGTCACTAACATATGATGCTATTGGATTGAGTCACTCCATTTGTGTTGAAAGCCCAAGAACAAAGTGAAGTTATGAAAGTGCTTTGGCCTCTTTCATTTATCAGTCCTAATGTGCTGTCTAAACAGATAGACAGTAGCCATATATGGCTATTTAAATTTAAACATCACAAATACTTAGATTAAGTTAAATTAAATTTTCGGTTCCTTAGTCTCACTAGCTGCATGTCAAGTACTCAATAGCCATATGTGGCTACTGGTTACTGTATTGTAAAGCACAGATATACAACATTTCCCCCATTGTAGAAAGTTTTATTGAAAATCTCTGGATAAGGAAGAGAGCAAAACACGGGGATTGCAAACAGTAGAGTTATCGAGGTTTAAAACATTCCACACACAAAAATAAAGAAACAGAAAAGGAGAATAGATGGTTTATAATATTGGTTGTGAAGGACTGGAATGTACTGCTAGCAAAATTCAAATTGTTTGTCATTGCCACTAACTCAGGAATTGAAAACCTTTCAAAAATGATGGATAGAGTCTTGGTTTTTATAGATCCTCATAGGTACTATGCAGATACCCTCAAAGAAGCCACATTGTGTGATGCAACTTAATACTGATTGTGAAAGTATCTACCTTCTATTATATACTTAACGTACAGTAATTGGTAGAATTGTGATGACATTCTGAAAGCACTAACCGTGATATATGGCTTCTGAATATTAAGGGGACCTGCTTTTAGTGTTCTGCTCAAACTAGAATTCTTTTTAGATCTAGAAATTCTCTTCCAATGCAGCTTCATATAGAATTCACCAACACCACAAATAGGAATGTTTGAAGATGGAGAAAATTTGTTTGTGTAAAATTTTTGGTTTATAAAATAGCAAATAAGAGTAATATTTATTATAGAGATAATACAGATGGAAACTGTTTACAGAAAAATTGAACTTTGAGAAGCAATAAAGAATTTTCTAAAATTTGCATATATGTTCTAATCAGAGGCAAAAATAAATCAACTTTTGGTCACTGTGGGTGAATATCAGAGGGGGAAGTTGAAGGAATCAGGGAAATGAAGGAAAAGCAAAATGATGTAGAAAGAAGAGGAGAATCTGGAGAAGTCTGATCATTCAACAAATACTTAATAGGGCACTTACAAAGTATTAGGCATTATATCAAACAGTGGGATACATCTGGGATCCAAACAGGTAAAAATCCCTACTTTCGGGAAACTTTTATGGAGAGAAAAACAGTAGTTAACATTTATTGAGGACAACAACTTGTCAGGCACAGTCAGAGGATTTTACTTGTAGTAAATAACTCATAGTCTGCAAGGTAGGAACAATTACTGCCTCTATTTTACAGATGGAGAAGTTAAGGCAATTAAAGAAATAGTAATGGCTTAGCCTTCTTGGCCTGCTAGAACAAAATGCCATGGACTGGGTAGCTTAAACAACAGACATTTAATCCTCACAGTTCTGGATGTTGGGTAGTCCAAGATCAAGGTGCTGACAAATTCAGTTCCTGGTGACAGCCTTCTTCCTGGCTTGCAGGCGGCCACCTTCTTGCTGTGTCATCACATGACAGACACAAAGAGAGAGACCACACTTTTAGAGGGGCACTAATCTCATCATGAAACCTTATGATCTCATCTAAACCTAATTACCTCCCAAAGGCCCCATCTCCCAATACCATCATATTGGGGTGAGTGCTTCAACATTTTAATTTTGGGAGGACACAGTTCAGTCCATAGTAATTAATTTTGCTGAAAATATCACAAGTTGTGAGTTGCAAGGCTTGCATTCAGGCACAGAGAGTCTGACTTCAGATTCTGAGAATTAAGTACCATATCATCACATTTAAGAAAGATTTCCATTAGTCTGGGCTCACAGTTTCATCATTGCCCTATAGAGAACAAATTGGTGGTCACTATTAGAACCACACTTCTATAGCTAACATTTAAAGTTGATATTCATCTATATTTGATATACAGAAATTGCTTAAAAGATATAACCATCATTTCACATTATAAGTTTAAACATTGTCAGGCAAATGATTTATGCTGTGTGAAGTTCTAAGTTAAAAGTATTCTTTTTCATTCTGTACACGAATTAAGTCAATCCTATTAAAATTACCAATTAAGATCCCAGGATTCCTAAGGTGGACCAAACGTTTGGGCAGATTACCTTTGAGAATAGTCCTAAATAAGACCTTTTACAGTTATGATCTCACAGCTGTCATAAAGAGAACCCCCTCTTCAAATCTTCTGAGGGGAGGGTGGACTTGCTATAACCATTTAAAAATGTTAACTTCCCCTTTACAGGTGCGACAGTAAAGGTGCTATTTGCCTGACACTCTTCATTTAGCTACTGAAGAGTATCCTAGCCAGGTTGAGCTGGTTACTTAAAAATATCTCAGATACTAACCAAGTCCTGGATGGGACATACACTAATATCAGAAGAGAGGGGACAGGTTTCAGTGACGTGTAAGGGTGATGAAAATAGGCCAGACAGAAGACTTTAAAAGCATAAGAGCTAATCTGTTTCAAATTCTATACAGGGCCTTGAGAAAGGGGAAAAAAAAAACTTCCTCAAATAAAAATTATTTGGATTTCACCTGCTAAGTCTATAGGAACTTTGAGGGGTCTTCAGATAAAGTAGAAAAAGATAACCTTTTATTCTTTGTTTAATTCATTATTTTACTCAGCAAACATTTGTTTGACACCTGTATTTAGACACAGAATAGTTCACTTGATTATCACGACACTCTTATAAGATCAGTAAGAGAAGTAAAAAGAATTACAAGTTAAGAATTGGAAAGCTGCAGTTAAATTGCTGAATTATTCAACCAGGGTCATGCTGATATTAAACGATAGAGCTGGAATCAACCTTAGTGGGTCTTCCGATTCTCCCTCCAAGAATCTTTAAACTACATGAGGCAACAGTCTCCAGCTCCTGATATTTTCTGAGTAAACTCTTCACAAGAGTCTATATGTCTGCAAATAGAACTGAATACTTCAAATACTTATTTTCCTAACTCTTATTAAGATTAACTATACTGTAAGTAACATAGGGGAAGACCAGGAGACGTTATCCATGATTTTTCTCCTAATGAGTTACTGTTCTACTGTAACAACACCTCCCACCTTGATTCTTCCTTTATGCACACATACTTACTTCCCCATTTAGCAACTCACTAATTAACTATTTTTAATTTGGTGGTATTAGGAGCATGTTATTGTGGTAGCAAGTGATGGATTACTAGAATAATCCTTTAGAATTTACTTTAGCTTGGACATCTAACTATGGACTCTAACGTATTAAAACACAAGAAGAAATACAACCTGGAGTTTTTCTCCCTCCTAACTCAGTCTTTTGACACCTTTTCTTTTACTTTGTATAATATATTTAATTCTGAAATTGTGTCCATTGATTTGTGGAAAAAGAAAGGAAAAAGGGAAAGAGGGAAAGGAGAAAAGAAGAGAAATTAGTTAATAGCTAGTTTTGGAGAACAAAAAAGGTGGAAGAATGGTCAAAAAAGAGGAAAACTCATAATATCTTAGATATGAGAGATTGCAATTAAATATACTGTTACAAGAAATTTAAGCAGAGTTATTATTCCCTTAGATATGCTTACAAACTCAATGTCTCTTATCCACAAAACAAGCATAATTAAAAAAAAAAAAAACAGTAAATAACAACCCAGAAGCCACCAGATGTACTTATTCACCAAATGAAATGAAAGATTTTTTAGGATGCTCCTTATTTCAACCAACCAATGGAAGGTACTTCATTTGACTTAGAGGAAAGGGATGGAACATGCATAGGCTAATGGAGATAAGAGGCTATCAGAAAAAGAACTATCTCACCTTTGAGATGTTATATACAAACCTCATGGTATCAGAAAAACAAAAAATCAAAGCATAGTCACAAAGCGTAAATAAAGAGAAAACAGAAACCATCACAGGAAACCACCAAACTGAAATGGCAGACAAAAATGCAAGAAAAAAGAAACAATAGAAATATAGAACAATCACAAAACAAAAGGGAAAATGGCAGTATTAAGCCCTCATGTATCAATAATCATGCTAAATGTAAAAGACTGAATTCACCAATCAAGACATAGAGTGGCTGGGTGGATTAAAACACAAGACCCAACAATATGCTGATTTTAGGCAACACGTCTCAACTCTAAAGACAAACGTAAGCTCAGATGAAGGGACGGAAAATGATATTCCAAGCAAATGGGAAG